GTGTTATGGAATTTCCATTTTTCTCAATGCTATCCAGAGTTTGTTATGATGCACATGGTTCAATGCTTTGCATAATCAATAAAACACAAGTAAACATTTTTGGTGTCTTCTGATTTGTGCCAAGACCCATCTGTCATCAGCACTGGTATTCTTCATTACACATCCCTTTCTGAATTAGACCTGATTTTCTGGCAGTTCCTTGTGGATGTACTGTTGCAGTTGTTGAATGATTATCAGCAGAACATTGCTTGCATGTGATATTAATGACACTATTCCATAATTTCTCCATATTGTTGGATTACTTCTATTTTGAATGGCTACAAATATGGATCTCTTGCATTCAGTTGGTCAGATAGCTGCCTTCCCAGAATTCCTGGCAAAGGTCAATGAGTGCTTCCAGTGCTTTATCAGCTTGTTGAAACATTTCAATAGTTATTCCATCAATTCATGCAGCCTTGTTTTCAGCTAACACTTTCAGTGAAGCTTCAACATCTTCCTTCAGTTCCAGTTGTTCTTGATCATATGCTACCTCTTGAAATAGTTGAATGTTGTATATGTTTTATTTTATTTTTATGCTTCCTACATTGTTCAATATTTTCCCCATAGAATCTTTTAATATGATAATTTGAGACTTGGTTCTTCTAGAAGTTTGGTTTAACCAAATGAGTAAAGTGTTGACCAAGGATTAAGGTGAAAATTCCAGCAAAAGGACACTAGAAGCTACCATGTAGGCCAGAACTCAATTGAAATTACAAGGTTACTAGAAGAGAACATAAATAAGTGAAAGTTTGCTTTTTCTGATAATGTTCACCATGTTCTAGGTAACGGTGCCCTCCTTGATACATTTCAATAAATGTTCTCAAAACAATAAGAAAAACACAAAGTTCATTCTCCCCAAACAGCATATTTTGTTTTTATGTAACTTTCAAGATCAAATAAGTTTATACATTGCTGATATTCCTCATACATAAATAAAGCTTTATCTTCTTTTACATTCCCTGTGCATTTAGATAAAGAATGCCTCCAAAGCATCCTTTTATAGGAGTCTAGCTACTTAGTCTCAAGCTGGTAATTCAGAAGACAAAGTATTTAATTGAAACATGCAAATAGCTAAGAGTTAGAAAACTGATCAAAGAAGAATATGCTCAGCATGTATCAAGCTGAAATAATTGCCGAGAAAATAAAGTCTCAAGAGCAGTTCCAGTTATTCTTTGTGATGCAGTATCCTTGGCTGAATGGTAGCTTTGGCTGATGACTGCAGATTATTAGCATTGAAGCACCTGGATATATTGCAGCAAAAGAAGGTAAGAAATATGAAGGCAGCTGGTCGTAGAGGCGTGATCCTTCAGAAAATGTTGCAATAAGATGCACACCTTGTCCCGTCACTGTGGGTCCAAGGTCTACCATCTACAGAAGTTGGCCTGTGGCAAATGTGGCTACCCTGCCAAGTGCAAGAGAAAGTATACCTGAAGTGCCAAGGCTAAAAGATGAAATATGACCGGTACTGGTCAAACCTGAAACTTGTATACTGCAGATCCAGGCATAGGTTCCACGGAGGAACAACTCCGTAACCCAGAGGACAGCATTGGAGAGCCCAGTGCATCTGAAGGATTTCACCATTTACTTGTGCAATAAATGTTCTCAATATGAAAATAGAAATATGAAGCCAATCACAGATATCAATAGTAATATTTATATTTCACTCCGTGCCCTGTGTCCTAATTACCTAGACTTGATCAAGAAAAAAAATATCATGGATTAATTTTACTAAATGGGTTCATTTCATTGTTTGATTTTTCTTTGTAAGTGTTTGCTTAGGTATAATATTACAGACTGTGTTTTGGTTAGTCAGTAAACAGTTGAAGGTCAGTTTTAAATTTAGAACCTTTCTGGCAAATGAGTAAATTTTATCTGCTGGATCTTTAAAGCATGAACTGTTTCATTTGCCCAGTGGGCCTTAATTAAGAATGAACAGTTTAGGGACTTCTAAAAAAAAAAAGGACAAATCCTTCAAAATAGATGAAATCCAGGATTTTGACCTTTCTCTTGGTAAATTAGCAAATGTTGCTTTTAATCAAACACAACTGATTGTGGGAGGGATTATGCTGAGTTCTGGGAAAGGCCAGGTGGCAACAGCCAATGTATAGTTCATGTTTTGATACCATAGATATGGTATTTCTGATGAAATAGGAGCATTATCTCAGAGCTCATCGTGGACAGAAGGTTGTTGTTTTGAGCCAGTTGTTCTTGGCATCGTGGCAGTGGATACTATATCACTAGGAGCTTCCCTTTTTGCTAGATTTGGATCTTGTACTTGGTTCATTGATCTCTGGTTCTTTAGATGAGCCAACAGCTTGCCCATTCCAGGTGCCTTCAGTGGCCTGTCCTCTGACCTACCATCATTGGATTCATTTGCCTCTCCAGTCACAAGCTTGACCTGTGAACCTTGGATTCATCAACCTCTGAAATGTGTGGTGTTCCTGCTGATCCTAGGTTTAAAGCCCTGTAAACTGTGTGAATCAGGAGAAACTTCCCACTTATATCTAACCCATGTACTTGCAACTGCACTGACCTTACCCACATCTATAACTATAGATGCCATTTTCTTGCTATACATTTTTCTCTCAAAATATATGTGTACATCTGATATATATCTTTCTTATGTAGATAGATAGATAAGTAGATAGAGATATATAATTATGTAGATCTATCACTTGACCTTTGGATTTTAGGAAAGATTCAGCTTATGTTCTAGTCCTTAGCATGTGGTCTGTGACTTGGCTCTTCCCATTTTCAGTTGCTCTATCAGGTAAATATCTCCAAGGGGCTTGGATTGTTTCCTAAAGGCTGTGCTGGCACTTGATGTGGCCCCACCCCAAGTTCTTGCAAACAGAAAGGATCTACTCTGTGTTGCCTGCTGAGGCCATGGAATCATGATATTGTTGTTAGGTGCCAAAGAATCTATATGGACCCATAGCAACCTTATGCACAACTGAAGGAAACACTGTCCAGTCCCACAGCATCCTCACAATTATTCCTATGTTTGAATCCATTGTTGCAGCCACTGTGTCAATCCATCTCTTTGAGGGTCTTCCTTTTATGGCTGCCCTTTACCACAATATCACTAAAAAACAACAACACACACATGACAGCAATGAAACCATACCTATCAATAACAATACTGTGTAAATGGATTAAATTCACCAGTTATGAGACAGAGACTAGCTGAATGGATACAAAAACATGAGCCATTAAAATGTTACTTACAGCCCCCAATAAACCGATTAAAAAAATAAAAGAAATTAAAAAAAGAACACCTTTGATAAAAAGACAAAAATATACTAAAAATCAAAGGATGGGGAAAAATCAAGTTAGTGGTAGTCAAAAGCAATCAAGAGTAGCAAGATTATTAATTTATGACAAAATAGACAACAAAATAAAAATCAACATGAGAGACAAAGAAGGCCACAAGTGAACAATATAACCATAATAAACATTTATGTTACAATGAAAGATGCTCAAAATACATTAATCAAATTCATATAGAATTGAAGAGACAAATAGACCATAATATGACACTACTAGGAGACTATAATACATCACTTCAAGCAAAGGCAGATCAACTAGAAAGAAAATCAACAAAGATACAGAAGAACTAAACAACACAATAAACGTTAACTCTTAAACATATGCAGAACACTTCACCCAACAGAAGTCCAATACACATTTTTCTAGTGCACATGGAATGTACTGCAGAATAGATCACATGTTAGGCCATAAAACAAGCACCAATAATTTTTAAAACATCAAGATACAAAAATAAATTTTTTAAGATCAAAATGGTATAAAATTAGAACCCAATAATAGGATGATCAACTAAAAAATAATTCCATGGAAATTGAACAACACTTTATTTAAAAACCACTGGGTAATTGAAGAAATAGCTGATTTTTAAAAATTTCTTGAAACAAAAGAGAATGAAAATACAACATTAAAATCTCTGGGATACAGCAAAAGCTTTACTCAAGAAGGCAATTTATAGCAGTAAGTGCACACATCAAAAAGGAAGAATGACACCTTAATCACATAACCTACAGAACACAGCCAGCAAAACCAAACTCAGGCTTTAGAAGAAAAGAAAAAATAAATATCAGAGCAGAAATAAATGGATCTGACAACTTTTGAAAATCAAGACAAAAAGCTAGTTCTTCAAAAGTGTAGCACTCCAGCCAGCTGGGATGCACGGAATAACTACTCAAGGCAGAAGATTGAGTAATGAGGGGAAGAGAGAGTGGCTCCAGAGAGAGAGCCGCTCTCAAGAGTCTCCATTGCCTATTTTATTAACATGCCAAAGGAGGAAGCTCACAAAGTTTCAAATGTGAGAAATATACTAGGGCACAACAACTTCAAAATCAGGATGTTCTCAAACTGTCAAACATTCTCGAAGGTAAAAACACTCATAAACACATTCTGACCTAAGGGAGGATTTTCCTCTTGTTTGCAGCAAGCAAAACTCAGTATTTGTGTAAAGGTCCAAAGTTTTTACACCCAAGTCACCCTCAGTGGGAACAGGGCATAGTCCAGTTGATTTGAATCTCTCCTTCTGCCCAGAATGCAGTGAGTGGCCGTGACCCTTTTTTCAACCCTAGGGTATGGGAACCTGTGCATTTTCCCACCCAAACTCTATCACCTCTCCAGCACTGTTGGGAGCTGCTCTGAAAGCAGAGGTCTGTTCGTTCAAATGTGGACGTGCAGACACAGCTCTCTCACGGTCAGATTGACTCTCTCACGGTCAGGTTAACCTTTGTGCTTTAATGTTATTGAAAGCACCAGGTGCTTAGCCTTGGGAAAAATATTTTCCTGATAAACAAGAACAAGGATGGGGGCACTATTTTGAGCAATAATACATTCCCACTTAACAGCTGGAAAATAAACTCGGGGCTGCAGTCTTGAATTGCAGTGCTCCTGACCCCAGCTTTTTTGTGTCTGTCTTTTCTCAGTCCTCACCCCCTCAATCGAGTCCCCGTTGCTCTGCCGGTGGGCTCCGGCAGGTGGCGCCCAACGTGAAAGCTCGAAAACACGGGAAACAGGTAAAGGAAAACTGCCCGGTGAACAAAGACGCGTCAAATAAAAAGGTAAAGAAGTTCGGGCAGGGAGGTATACTCAGGAGTAAAACATGGGACATGGAACAGCAAAGAGCTGTTTATACAAGTGATAAAAAGTATGCTTCGTTCTAGAGGCGTTAATGTTAGTAATGGAAATAGCAAACAGATTTTTGTATATATGCTTCAAGATATGTTAAAAGCCAGAGGAGCAAAAGTAAGCTATCAAAGATTAGAGATGTTTTTAGATTTTGTAGTTAAAGTATGTCCTTGGTTCCCTGAGGATGGGACTGTAAATATTGAAACTTGGCTGAAAGTAGGGGAACGACTAAAAGATCACTATGCAGGTAATGGACCTAGCAAGGTCCCCATAGATACGTTTTGCCTATGGAATTTAATTAGGGATAGCTTGGATCCTAGGCAAGAGGGACTTTTGGAGTTAATAACTTAACCTGTGTGAAGCAGGGAAAACCAGAAGGGATCGACTCTGTAGAAGAGGGACTTTCGGTGAGAGAAAGAAAAGAAAAGAAAAGAAAAATGGGAAAATCGCCATCCATGAAACGCAAATACCAAAAGTTGATACAAGGACTTCTCCATTCTACAGGGGTGGTGGTTAAAGATAAATTATTGGGAGAATTATTTGCGCATATACAACAACATTGTTATTGGTTTTACAGTCAAGAAAAGGTTAAGTTGAATTCGCGAGCATGGCAACAAATAGTGAAAACATTACACACTGCACATCAACGGACACAGACTATGAATTTAAAGCTATGGTCCTTGTGTAGTGCTATTACTCAAGCTTTACAGTTATTAGAGCCAGACTTGGAGAAAGGTGAAGAAAGTGATAAAGATAAGAAAGAGAATGGAGTCCAAAGGGAGGAAGAGGAGTATGCAGAAGTAGCTGAGGAGGAATTGGGTCCAGAATTAATAAAGAAGGAATCAGATGATGTGGGAGAAGGAAATGGTGTTCAAGAGATTATAAAATTGCTAAAACAAATGCTTAATTGTCATTCTGCTAACAGCCCTTTAGACGCTCCATTGCCCGGAGCTACTTTCACTTTTGCAAGGTAGAACCATGGGGAGGAGAAGGACAAGCTGCCTCCCGATCGATCCAGGAATAATAGCTTTTCCCATATCAGAGCTTTTGCAGGGATCAGCGGAACTGTATAACAAGCTGAGTTGTTTGCAGGGGCTGTAGCTGGTGCTATGATTGGTGGAAAGCGCTCTGTCTGCTAAAATCAGTGACAGGCGCTGGAGGACTCTGCAACCCTATCTCCTTTTCCTAAGCCTAAAAGAAAGTGCTCCCCCCCAGAACCAATAGTTCATAGAGCCACAGAAGGAGAGATTTTACAATGGGGTCGAGGGTTTGCTCTTATCTCCACAGATTCCGGAGCTGAGAGGTTGCCAACCCGACTTCTGAAACGGAGAGATGGCTAAGAAGTCCCGCACTCAGAAGTTTCTGCAAGAGTTTGAAAAATTTTCCCTTTTCCTTATGCTGAAGAAGAAGGCAGGCATATTAATAATTATAGCTTGGGGGTGAGGGGTTCTCTATTTTTCCAAGATATGGTTCTCATTGTTTATCTTATTCACATGAGGTTTGGGGAGTGAGATATAATCATTCTTCTTTTGCAGTAACTACGGTTCTTATTTCTGCAAGAGGCTTTAGGGGGAAAGTCAGTAATATCTTTGAGACCGCTCCTACCCTGTTATCTATTTGCCCACTCCCTAATGTAGGACTGGAATGCAATAATTGGCATGGACTCATTGTCAAGGAGAACAGCCTAAGATATTGTTAAATCATACAGACTTTAAGATAGTGGATTGGAGCCCTCATGGAGACTTTATTAATAAATGTTCTAAAATACCTTTAAGATGGCTAATTGTTCTTTGAAAGGAACTGGCAATGAAACTGTTATTTGGCATGACGGAGGATTAACCCCTCCTATGCCGCATTTGTTGGGGGATACAAACTCTCAAGGTCATTTATGGAAATTATTAGCATCTGGGGAGCCAATTAAAACCTGGATTGGCAATATGTCTTTCAATATTTCTAATACTGTTGTACTTATTAGTATAAATCTTCATATTAATGCTACTCGGTATATTCAAGCTTGTGTGAATATTCCTTATGTTATTTTATCAGGACATATTACTTGGAATTCTAGTATAGAGGTTTTGACTTGTTCTTTAAATTGTACTTTACAACATTGTGCAAATTTTACCTGGTGGAAAACTGTTAACCAAACCTGAGACAGTTTGTACCTTGTTAAAGCACGTCCTGAGATTTGGTTACCTCTCAATTTAACTTGACCCTGGAACTAATCTGCGGGAGTAATGCAGATTTACAATGCCTTGACTGAATTGACCCATCGAATGAAGAGAATGATTGGACTGATAATAGCCACAGTGATTGGACTTGTAGCTGTAGCATCTACTGCAGCAAGAAATACAAACATCAGACTTTGTTCGAGGGTGGCATAAAGATTTTCATCTGTTGTGGCAACAACAACACGACACTGATACTCAAATAGCTGAAGATATCACCAAACAGCGTTGTCCATGGGAGATAAGATATCTGTGTTAGCTACTCGAGTTATGCTTTGATGTGATTGGAACACTTCTTATTTTTGTATTAAGTCTGTTCCGTATAACGTTAGTAAGGATTGGAAAAAGATTAGAAATTTATTAATTGGACATAAAACTGTATCTTTAGAAATTCAATTATTGGAATATCAAATTGGTGAAACTTTTAGTAGACAATTACCCAAACTTACTGGTAATGAAATTTTTCAGGGAATTGCTAAGAGACTGTCTTCTATTAACTCTTTGGAACAAGCAAAGCTTTATTATATTTAACCATTGGTAGTGTTATTCTATTAACCATTAAGGTTATAGTTGAATTATTGGCCTTAAGTACAAAGTTACACGAAGTACACCTGTGTACTTCGCCTCCTCCCCAAATGGGGGTATAAAGCAAAGGCTGGTTAGTCAGAGACGAGTAAGATGAGTCCGAGTCTCTCAACCTAAGACAGGTCATAGTCGCCTGGAGGATTGTGGCTGATGACGGGTGAGAGTGATTTCGGTACTTGACAACCTATGACAGGCACAGTCATCTGCCGACGTTTTGAGTAAAAAACGTCTTCAGTAAATAAAAAAAGGGGGAGATGTTGGGAGCTGCTCTGAAAGCAGAGGTCTGTTCGTTCAAATGTGGACGTGCAGACACAGCTCTCTCATGGTCAGATTGTCTCTCTCACGGTCAGATTGTCTCTCTCATGGTCAGGTTGACTTTTGTGCTTTAATGTTATTGAAAACATCAGGTGCTTAGCCTTGGGAAAAATATTTGCCTGACAAACAAGAACAAGGATGGGGGCGCTATTTTGAGCAAGAGTACATTCCCACTTAACAGTGTATAAAAGCTTGCTGGAAAATAAACTCAGGGCTGCAGTCTAGAATTGCAGTCCTCCTGACCCCAGCTTTTTTGTGTCTGTCTTTTCTCAGTCCTCACCCCCTCAATCGAGTCCCCGGTGCTCTGCCGGCGGGCTCCAGCACAGCACAAACTTGACCCACCCTCACCAGGTAAGATGGGGGAGAAGCGCTAGTGTCCTGTGTGGTGTTAGAGATGAGTATGGAGATACTGTGTCAGCTCTTCTCTACTGAGATCCAGAGAGAGGGGATGAGGGGCTGCTTGGCAGGTATCTTCCCAGGCAGTCCAGACTTTGTGGCTTTTTTTTTTTTTAGGATGGGCTTCCTCAGACACCACTGAGTGTGTCACACACTGGTAAAGGTTTCTGTTCTTCCAGGGAGGTTTAGACTCAGGTTCCTGAGTTTTCTCCACTTTCTTAAAATTTTTGTTTGAAAGGGTTTTACAACGTGTCTGGCTATGTCGCCATATTGGATCAGAGTGGGTGTCTTCTTTAGTGACGAGTATGTTCATGCCCTCTGCCTTGCCCATTTTTAATCTGGATCATCTCATCTCACTGCCTTCAAGCCGGCTCTGACTCATAGTGACTGTGTAGGACAGCCCCTGTTGATTGTCAAGGTTGTAAATCTTTATGGGAGCAGACAGATTCATCTTTCTTCTGTGGAGCAGCTGGTTGGGTCCAAATGCTGCTCCCATGTTTAGCAGCACAACATGTAACCCACTTACTACATCACTAGGGTGACTTTTAATGGGATAATGTGTCTTTTTTGTTGTTGAGGTGTTGAGTTTTCTTTACATTTTTCAGATTCGTCCCTTGTCTGATATGTCATATCTCAATTCCATCCACTCCATTCCGAGAGTCCTTTTATTCTTTGGGAGAATCTTTGGGGGCACAAAAGTGTCTAATTTTCAGGAGGTCCCAGTGTGGTAGTTACACAATCTCATGTCAACTTGAGAGTATTTAGAGTGAAAAGGTGGAGTTTGGCCTGTCAATCAAGTCAGCTTGATGATGCCTCCTTGTGGGTGTGGCCTTCTCATGAGAATTTTGGGAACTTCCTCTCTCTCTTAATTTTTCCTGCTGTTGAGACACTCAAAGAGCTGGAGGAGCCACCCAAGCCATCCCTGAGATGCTACCACAGCTATTGGATCCACAACACTTTTCATCCACTGACCTGTGGTCTTCCTGCATTTTGCATCATTGCATGCGCTGTGTGAGTCCAAAGAGATATTTATGGACTAGTAACAGACGTATTGATCTGGACTGGGCTGTGCTGTATTTTTGATATAAAGCTCTTTCTTTTTTTTTTAAAGTGGTTTTATCGGGGGCTATTACAGCTCTTATACATTCCACACATCAGTTGTATCGAGTATATTTATACATATGTTGCCATCATCATAATTTCTAAAACATTTTCTACTTGAGCCCTTGGCATAAGCTTCTCTTTTTTCCCCTCCCTCCCCCACCTTCCCACCCTAATTAATCCTTGAGAAATTATATATTGTTATTATTATTTCATAACTTACATTGTCCATTGTCTCCCTTCACCCACATTTCTGTAATTTGTCCTCTTCGGCGGGGGGGGGGGCCTATATATCCAGCCTTGTGGTGGGTTCCCCCTTTCTCCCCCTTCCCCCTCCCAGGCCATCCCCCTACCCTCATGATATAACTACTCCTACTACTATTCCTGAGGGGTTTATTTGTCCTGAATTCCATGTATTGAGAGCTCTTATCTGTACCAATGTGTATTCTCTGGTCTAGCTAGATTTGTAAAGTAGAACCGGGTCATGGTAGTGGGGGAAAGGAAGAATTCAGGAACTAGAGGAATGATGTGTTTCGTTGGTGCTATACTGCACCTTGGTTGAACCAGCCCTTCCTTATAACCTTTCCAATTGTCTACAGGTGGACTTTGGGTCTTCACTCCAAACCTTCTCATTCACATTGACATATTTGTTTGTTTAGGATCTTTTGATACCTGATACCTGATCCTGTCGACACCTCATGATTACACAGGCTGTTGTGCTTTTTCCATGTGGGCTTATTTGCTTCCCTGCTGAATGGATGCTTGTTTAACTTCAACCTTTTAAGACCCCAGATGCTATATATTTTGAAAGCTGGGCACCAACCATTCTCTTCACCACATTTGCTTATGCACCCATTTTGTTTGTGTCTGGAAGGTGAGTATCAAAGAGCGCCAGGTTATTAGAACAAAGTATTCTTGTGTTAAGGGAGGTGTTGAATCGAGGTCCAAAGTCTGTCTGCTATCTTAATACTTAACATGTAATATGTATATTGGTCTCTATCCCTTTCATTATAAATGAGTGTATATATATATATATATACATATACCTATAGCTATACCTCCCTAGTAGCTTTTACCTATTTCCTTTCACCTTCCTCCTATCCCACTATCATGCTCACCCTCTATTTGGCACTGATTAATTCCTCTCCGGCACATTGCAGTTGATTAAACCCCATCAGGTATTATACACCTTCCTCACCATTCATTTTAGATCTTTTGTTGTTTACTTATCCTGAGTTTGTTGGCTCCCCACTGACCCTCCTTACCCTCTCCTCTCCCATTTCCTCCCTGTTGTTTTCTCCTCGGGATTATTCATCCGGCCTATCTTATATAGACAGACATGGGGCAAAAGAAAAACAAAAACAAACAGCTAAACAAACCAGGAAAAAAAACCCAATAGATAGTTCCAGGTCTTTCTGCTGACCTTTATGTATGTTTTCCTGACCTTAATGTATGACCTTTATGTATGATGAGGTGCCACTGTGCATGGGGCAGACTGGGTACACTTTCCGCACAGTGTTTCCACTGTTGTCTCCCACAGCGTAATGGGTCAGTGAGGGAATGTCATGTATCGTGGTGGGGTCAGCCCTTTCCTCTCTGTGCATGGGCTAAAGCTCTTTCTTATACATATATGAGTGTCTCTGGATTTGTTTCTCTAGTCAACCCAGACTAACATATCCAATCATGTAGTTTGTCTTCTGTTTGATAGTATATTTATGACATTTACTGGTTTGTCTCTATTTTTTGATGATTTTTAAAAAATTTTGACTTAGTGTTCTATATTTGGTGTGAGAAATTGGACTGTTTCATTTTTCTGCAAATGGAAATTTGG